TTAAAAAGAGATTCCAATACAATCTGAACTATGCTGTCATTATTTTTACTGATCTCTATATGCTTACCTGTTTGTCATACTTTTTCAGGTACATTGATTAAAAGAAGTACGAAAATGAAGAAAATTCTACATAAAATACAGATTTTAAAAAAACAAATAAAATGTCAAAAAAATCAAATAAAAGCAGCAGACAAAATGTCAAAGACGAAATTATTTCAAAAGGTTTTGAAAACATTATCGAAGCCTGCTCAGACATTGCTAAATATGCAATTAACTCAGCATAATAAAAGAGGCCGTGGAAGGCGTTTTAAAAGTCCCAAAGGCTATAATTTCCTAAGAAAATTATTTAACTTGCCCTCAAAGAGGACATTGCAGGATGTACTTAAAAAATAACTTTGAAAACAGGTCTAAACCCAATAATATTCCGCCAAATAAAAGACGCAGCACAAAAATTTAATACGGAAGAACGCTTATGCTTGTTAATGTTTGATGAGATGTCACTTTCACCATCATTACAGTATGATAAAGCTTTAGATCACATAGTCGGCTTTGAAGATTTTGGTGAAAATGATCAGAATGATAATATTGCTGATCATGTTTTAGTGTTTATGTTAAAGGGTGTAAAAATTCAATATAAGCAACCTATTTGCTTTGCTTTTTGCAAAAGTGCCACAAACGCAACAGTTCTTAAAAAACTAATAAAGAGTGTCATAAAAGAAATATTTCAGGCAGGGTTAATTGTTGTTGCAACTGTGTGTGATCAATCAACAATTAACACAAAGGTAGTAAATGAATTATTAAAAGAGACAAATGCAGAATATTTGAGACTGGGTAAGGAACATAAGAGCAATGCTTTTCAAATTGAAAATCATGATATATTCCCGTTATTCGACCTGCCCCATTTATTAAAAGGAGTGAGGAACAATTTAATATCAAAAGACCTAAGGTATATCCAGAATGACCAAGTAAAAATAGCAAAATGGCAACATTTAAAATTACTATTGGAAATTGATGCAGGAGAAGATGAGTTAAGGATGTGTAATAAGCTTACAGAAATGCATGTTATGCCTGAAAAAATTCCCAAAATGAAGGTGAAACATGCGGCTCAAGTTTTTAGCCAACGAGTATCAGGAGCTTTACGATTTTGTGCAAGTACGTGATATACTTTGTTAAATAATATTCAGTGTTGAAATTATTTTTTGTAAGATATCTCTTTATCGCTTATTTCTTGTGTTCACTCTTATGTCAAACATTTTATTGCTTCTTAAGATTTAAAAATTGCTCATAACATTTTATTTATTTACAGAAAATAAGTTGCTGCCACAAAAATGTTTAGATACGGCAGATATACTACTCCTGTTTGATCAATTGTTTGATTCTTTTAATGGAGGTTCTTATAAGAAAACATACAAGATCTATAAAAATTGTGTAAAACCAAATTCAGATCATTTTACACTATGGAATAAAGTTCTACCAGTTTTAAGGTCAATGAGATTCAAAACGGAGATAAAAACAGAAGTAGTGCTACGTCATCTGTAAGTTACGAACAAGTTCCATCAATAAAAAATTGGATACATAACATTGACACTATAAAAGGTTTGTTGCAATATTTATTTGACAAATACAACGTCAAGAGTATTTTGATGCGTAATTTTAATCAAGATCCCTTGGAAAACTTTTTCTCCTCGGTAAGAAGCCACGGTGCTAGAAACAAAAAATCCTACGTCTCTACAATTTCAAAGCATTTATAAAACATTACTTGTTAATAATTTGAGTTCAACACATTCCTTGGGGGCAAATTGTGAGGAAGACTTTAATAAAGTTTTAAATAATTAGGATTGCCTGTCCAAAGGAAAATAGAATTAATATAGACTTTATAGTTCAAAACTTGGCAGGTAATGATTCGCAAGAATTTGCAAATAAAATTGTCACGGAGACAAAAAGGTATGTGGCAGGGCAAGTTATTAAAAAGTCAAAAATTAAAGTTTGCAAATCATGTTTTACATGTAATAATGAATTGTGTGGTACAACTCCGCCACAAGTAGACGATTAGGTACATTTTATCTGTAGATGTCACGCGAAGATCACTTATGAGACCTTCCCAAAACTTTTTAGAATGTGTTGAAAATGTGATTAAAATATTAAAAAATGCTTTACAAAACGGTTACAGTGGTATATGTGATAGAATTAAATTATTAATAGATCTTGGTGTGGAATTCGAAATGTTTTGTTATGTAAAAAGCATAAAGAAAACTTGAAAACCTTTATAATTAATTATATAATCAGTTTAATTATTCACAGCTGGTGCATGAATGTCATGAAAATATTGCGGGGTAGACATGTTAAAATTGATGAAAATGGCAAAATAAAAATTCAAGCTAAAAAATACTGTCTCATAGATATAGATCTAAATAGATGTTATTTATCTCTATATCACATTATGATGTACTTTTAACTTTCTAAACTTACTAATTGAGATGCTTATGGCGCTACTCCTAGCGAACGACCTTGAGAGGTCGGTTCTATACAATCCACGCGCTCTCGCTACAATATATCGCGTAATAAATACGCTCAAATTTTTGGAATTATTTCAATTAAGAAAGAAAGACGAACTTAAGAACTAGAATCCACTGAGTCAGTAGTGCTTTATGGGGCAATGTATTATACGCTTTCACAACGAAATTTCAGAAAATGTTCAAAATTTGTCAATTAACAATTTGACATGTTTTATTAAAGGAAAAATGTACAAAAAGAGTTATTGTAATATCAAAGAATACATAAAATAACTCCTGGGTATGAGGTGATCGCAATCATGCTTGTATGTACTATTAAAATTTGTTTAAAAAATGATATTGTAAAGTGAAATATGTTTAAAAAAAAGTCGCGCTGGGTTTCTTGTTGGTTCTTCTCAGGACAGTGGTATCAGTGGCAAATAAAACACGATTTCCTTAAAGTATTATGTAATAATCTATATTTAATTTAAAAAATGTTCTATTCTCTGTAATATAAGATATTTACTAACTAGTAGGGATATTATATAAAGAAATCAATTGATATTGTGCAAATACTGTTAAATTTAACACATCTAATGTTATTCAATAACTAAGCAAAGAATTTTTAAACAATAAACGTTTTAAAAATAACCTGTTTTTTATTTTTTGGTATAGGAACTTACAATTACCACAAGAAACATAAACAACTATTAATTACATTGCAGCACTTGCGCAATGTAATTAGTGGTTGTATATAAAATAAAAATATTAAAGTGCAAAAAAAGGTCGAGCCCAAAGCACCAATATTTTAATGCCATCTATTAGGCAAAACAAGAACTTTAACTAAAATTAAATTTGAGTGGCACATCTATCTCTAGTATATATACGGTAATCTCTAGTATATATACAGTAATCTCTAGTATATATACAGTAATCTATGGTTACAGTTTTTTATATTTCTATATGTGTGCCTACACTTAGGGTATGTTCCGAAATACAACGCAGTGTACTGTCCAATGCAAATGACGTCATGAATCGACGCTATACTGGTGATTCGTTCCAAAACATTGGACAGTATATGACGTCATACTTTTGCGCCATTTAGAAAAGTGTTGGCGATTATTTTGTCATTTTGTGATCCAAAAATCATTGTATCCTCCTAATGGATATACCAGCAAATATTATATAATTTTTTTGTATTTGAATAAATAGAAACAAATTCTGGCATGCTTCAATGCCAGAATTTGTCCGACGTAATACGGCGGCGGCACGCCAGTATAATATAGTGTCAATTGATGACGTCATTAGCATTTAACATTGTACTAGGTTGTATTTCGGAACATACCCTTAATATCGGTTAACTGGGACACATTTTTCGTGAATTTTGTTCTATTCATTTAGTAGTTGGTCAATGCTTAAATTTAATTTAATAGTTTTTATTTCAATAAACTGTACAATTAATTAAAATAATGTCCTAATTTAAAATAGTCTACTATAACAGGCGCCTGAACCAGGATAAACCTGTATCTCAGGTGTATGTGCTAATAGAAACATTAACAAATATTTTCCATTTCTTAAATAAAATGAATAACATACTAACTGATAAGGGTTATTTTGGTAAAATATATTATCATTAATTAACTTAAAAAAATCAGCAACTTTTCCGTATCATTGTATGACAAATTTTGTAACCATGTTTGAATTACATTTTTACAATCTGCCATTTTTAATGGATGTATGCAAATTTGCATTGACTTGATTATACAGAAATGACTAAGGAAATATAAAAAATCTATCGCATTCCATTAGGTTAAACAATACTATTATCCCATACTTATGTATAAATAAAGTGAAATAGCTGGATTAACTGATTTATTATAGCAGATTATTAACTATTGAAGTGAGAAACATGGAATTTGCATAATAGAAGCTGCAAATAACCTTTCTAGCATAAACTCCCACTAGGAAGGATTTTTGAATGGAATAGGGAGTATGATTGTGCCTGAGAGTCTCATCATTTTTTAAAGCAAGAAATGTAGTTTGATTTGATGAAGGCTTTTGTTTAGAAATACTGAACATGGTAGAGCCACGCTGCAGCTATATTATTGGTTGTAGCACGAATTTGTGAGCTCAACCAGTGTATGACCACGCTCTAACAATAATAGCGTGAAATAGCAGCTTTATGTTGCTGTATTTCGTATAGTGACTGAGAACTGGAGACTCTTTTTTACTGTAAACAAGGTATTTCATGTTAGTCCTCAGGGGTGAAAACTCATCTGCATTTTGATTCTAAATTACAGATAAATGTTTATGTACCACAGCATCTTCTTCCCATCAGGTGGACTGTGTGCTTGTTTGCCACCCTTTTTCTATAAAAAATCTACTACTGTCTGAGCTAAGTCACTGGCAAAAGTTATTACCTATATCTTATAAAAGGCAATTGAGTGACTGACAGTTTTTGTATATCTTTTAACAGATAAATATATTTTTTATTCTGTTTGCTTTCAGCTGGAAGTAAGAAGAAAGACTTTTACATAGAGAAGATTAAAAATTTTAAGACTTACCAACAATTAAAAACGAGGCTGTTGAAATTACAAAATAAGTGCAAAGAAGTTAAAAAGTCCTATCGTGTAGCAAAGATGGTAAGCAGAAATGAAAGCTTAATAAACATAATTGATAAGCTGCCAAAAACAATATTGACTTCTATAAAACTTCAATTGGAATCTCTACAGAAACCAAAAGTTTACTCTAAAAGACAATTTTTGCATTATCAACATTAAAACAAAGTTCCAGATCTTATAACTTTTTAACCAAAATTTTGGTACTACCATCCAAACATACTCTACAGAAAATTCTCAAAAATATATTGATTGAACCAGGATTGAATGAAAATATTCTAAATAATTTAAAGAAAAAATGTATAAAATGACACCTGAACAAAGGCTATGCAACTTATTGTTTGATGAGATTGCCTTAATTCCTGGTTTATATTATAATAGGAGTATTGATCAGATAATTGGTTTTGAATGAGATACTGAGAAAATTGCAGACCATTGTCTGTTTTTATGATAAAAGGGATAAAGAGCAAATACAAACAGCTCTGACAAAGTGCAACTAAAAGCCATGTATTGAAATCATTAATTATTGATATAATTAGAAGATTAAGAGAATATGGCTTAATTATTGTCGCTACAATTTGTTGTGACCAAGGCACATCTAATGTATCTGCCATTAATTCTCCTTTAAAAGATAAAAAAGAAAAATATTTAAGGCACAATAAAGTCTACAAAAGCAGTATAATAGAAATTGATAATATACCTTTATTCTGTATATATGATCCTCCCCATTTATTAAAGGGACTAAGAAATAATTGGATTAGCATAAATATAAGATTCATTTACAATGGGGATGTCATGATGGCAAAATGGGAACATTTTAAAATGCTTTTAGGAATTGATGTTGAAGAAGATGATTTAAGAATGTTAAACAAATAACTGAATTGTTACTGTCATGTGCAACAAGATAAATTGCCTAAAATAAAGTTGAAGTATGCAGCTCAAGTTTTTAGTCAGAGTTGCAGCCACAGTGAATTTTTTAGCAAGTAAGTTTCTTATAGTTTTTTTTTAAAAAACGCCCACACATAAACCCCCTACACTAGGATTTTCTCCTATATTACGAAGGCAGTTTACAAACATAAATTGCACAAGGAAAAACATCCAGACCCGGAACAATCCGTAGGCTTGTTCCGTGCGGGATTCGAACCCGCGGCCCCAGCGCAGCCACTCATTGCTAAGCCACTGCGTCACGAACATAAAATATACAAAATAACATAAAATATAACATTAGAATCTTATAAATATAAAATGTTATCTTATTTAATTAATGGTTGTTATTTATTTGAGAACTGTTGCAAATACTCTTGAATTTAAATAATAAGATTTATGTTTAGAAACTGTATCCATAAGGTTAATGTAAGACGAAAATGCAGTTTGTATGAAAAATATTATATTAAGACGTACAATCCATATTACTCAACAAAGAAACGTGAAATTAGGACAATAGTTCTTTATATTACGTAGGCATCCAAAAAGACAATATTTTGGAAAATTAAGAAGGTGAAAAAGGGTGGCACAGTTTCTATGAAACTTTTTATATTGTACGGTGATTGGCTCGAAACAAATCCTCACATGGTGGGCGGAGGGTATTCAAAGTAGTATGAAGAAAATATTATGAATGTTTTCTTAAACTTTGGAAAATGGTGCAATTTCAAGCCCTTAGTGTGAAATAGGGTGCACAGTTTGTACACACTTTTCACTTTATGGAGCCATTTTATATGTATATGTTAAGGTTAAAGTTACAGCCTATATACGATTTATTGCTGGGCACAGGCCTCCCCTCATTTCTGATAGGGTTATGGGGCTAGGTGTCCCCGCGCTGCCCCAATGCGTGTTGGCGAACTTCGTATGTGTGTTCTACGTGGTAGAGCCATGCTGCAGTTATATTAGTAGTATAGTTGTAGCATGAATGGGACTGCTCGACCAGGGAAGGACCACGCTCTCACAGAATTCCAGCGTAAAATAATAGATTAATGCTGCTGTGTTTCGTATCGTGAGTGTAGAGAACCGGAGAACCTTTTTACTGGAAACACGAGGCATTCCATCTTAGTTCTCACGGGTGACAACGCGTAATCGAGGATAGATGTAGATAATGATTTCTTAAATTTACGCGAACACTACACATTGAATAAAACTATTATTTACTGATTTTATCGCGTTTAATTACTTTAATTTGTTTTAAAACAAATTATTTATTAGATGTAGATGTCTATGGGCCGCAGCAACCACTTACCATCAGGTGGACTGTGTGCTCGTTTGTCACCCTATCCTATAAAAAAATAAAAATATGTCTTCAAAATATATTTTTCCTATTTCTTAGACATGCAGTTTTACTCACGATATTTTCCTTCACGGCACGTAGTAAATCAGCACTTAAAATTTCAATAGACAATTTCATTTCTGCTGGCGAGGATCGAACTCTGGTTGATCGCGTACTGTGAAATTTATAGCAAGCGCTAACCATCTGAGCTACTATGGCTTACATGTTTAAATGTATGGTGAAAAATTATTACACGAAATTTGTTACTTGAAAATTGGTTATGTAAACACCTCGGGGCGAAAAGCTAGTACAGTAAACCCTCGTTAACACGAACATGAAAAAAACAGACAAATAGTTCGTGTTACAGGGGAGTTCGTGTAATCCGAACAATGCAAAAAATAAATTCGTATTTCTAAACTCAATATTATGATTCATCATAGAAACATTTTTATTAATATGTAACTTTGATTTTATTATTTTATATTTACAATAATTTTTAAAAGCCAAATTGTTAAGAAACCTTTTGCTGCTGCTGAAGCTTTTGTTAATTAGTTTTCAAAAGTTTACAACCTTTTAAATAGCTTTTGTAAGACGGAAAGAAAATTTGAGCTATTGTTTCTATTTTTAGGTACTCGAGTGAATGTTTGATATCCTAATCCTTTGTCTATTTTTAGAAACTCGAGTTAATGACTTTTCTAATCTCTTCAGCATTTGTTTGCCGGTATTTGTATTGACCGAAAAAGGATAAAAATATACAAAATACATGATTTGGGAATTTTTATAGTTCGTATTATCCGACAATTAACCGTGAAGGGACGAAAAAGTTGTTCGAAGTTCGGATTAACGAGGATTCGTCTTACCGAACATAATTACATTGAAGCTTATGGAACTATTGTCTAGAGCAAATTTTTGTTCGCCTTAAACCAAAATTCGTGTTAACCGTGTTCGCATTAACGAGGGTTTACTGTAGTACATAATATATACTACAAGCTTTTCGCCCCGCGGTGTTTATTATATCTAATGCATAAAAATGAGTGTTTGTTCGTATTTTATGCGCTGTCATACAGTTCATCAGATTGCGCTAAAACTTTGTTAAAATTATTGTTTGCACTTTTGCGAAGTTTATAGACATAGTACAATTAACTTACAATATGTGGTGAGCGTATCGTAGACACAAATTTATTTGAAAATCATATATTCAATTTCAACTTGTGTAATATTATACCTAATTAAGGGGGAATATAACCTCAAAAGGCTTAGCAAGATCCTCCGTTATTCCGAAAATATTGCAGCATTAATTTTGAAAAAAAAAATATGGTAAAGTTGAGGATTAATGTTAAGGGGAAATATAACCTCAAATGGCTTAGCAAGATCCTCCGTTATGCCGAAAATTTTGCAGCATTAATTTTGAAATAAATATATGGTAAAGTTGAGGATTAGTGTTAAGGGGAAATATAACCTCAAATGGCTTAGCAAGATCCTCCGTTATGCCGAAAATATTGCAGCATTAATTTTGAAAAAAATATATGGTAAAGTTGAGGATTAATGTTAAGTAGGTACTATGTTAGACGAAAACATGATTCCGTAAAATTTTCTCGATAGAAAAAAATCCAAAGTTACCTCCAAACTGAACAATAAACCGCTGTTATTCATAAAATACTTTAAATTAGATCATGAAACTTTGCATACTAATTGAACTAATTATAAAGCAGAGCTTATGTTTTTTTTTTTTTTTTATTACCATTATTTTTACTGTAAAAAGAAATTACCTATATCATTATTATGCATGACCACCTATGCCTTCACAAAGGACAATTGACTCTCAATTGTCATTGTGCAGAATTAGAGCCTGTAGAAACTCAAACTTACTCAGGACTTATAGTAGATAATCGACTCAACTGGAAACATCATATTGAGGATGTGTGTAATAGACTTCGAAGCATATTAGCAAAATTCTCCATATTTAAGTATAAAGTCCCCTATAGAATTTTGCTACAATTATATAAATCACTGGCCGAATCTAAAATTTCATATGGCTTGTCTAGTTATGGGCGAACTTACAAATCACATTTAGATAACCTTTATTCATTGCAACTACGCATCTTAAAAACTATAGTCCCAGACCAAGTTAAAAACTTACACAGGGATTCTGATTACCATAACCTATTCGATTACTGCAAAATTATACCGGTGCATAAAAAAGTAGAATATACTCTCTTAAATGAAGAATTTTTTAAAGAACAAGATTTAAAAAATGTGGCATTTCTAACTATTCTAAAACCCGCAGTGCGGCCAAACCAAAATTAGATAAACCTAATTATAATAATTTATACGGAAAACATACTTTAGAATACATGGTTCCGAATTTAGTTAATCATTTACCAATATCTTTTCAAAATGAAATTAATCATAAAAATATTAAACACAAATTAAAAAACTATTATACGAACTGTATATATCAGACTTCAGACTTAAAAAATAATAAAATTAAATACTTACTATATTTCCTATATTTACCTATATGATATACAACCTAAGAATAATCATTATATTCGTTTACTATTAAATATTAAGTAACTAACTAATTGATACCTCCTGTATACGCAACGCAGGAACGACCGGTTTTTGACGCAGTGAAGTGGGCGGTGGCAAGACTCACACCTTTCTTGTTCACTATGTGGTAACTACGTATGTATTGCCGATTTACCGCGTGTTGACCGTGCCAATTGCTGTTTAGTGTTTAATAGTGTTGCATTAAACATATTTTGTAGATTAAGGTGTAGCTCATATTTAAAAAGAAATATGTCGGCGGTTTGTGGTACACGGTAAAGTTTTTCATTAAGCTTATGTTGTACCATATTATATCCTCTTTATCATGTATATGTTAAATAAATAAATAAATATCGGCGTCCTGAAGCTTGTTTCCTGCCGCCCGGTTCCAAGCTTCAGGACGCCGATAGTTTAGGTAATTTCTTTTTACAGTGAAAATAATGGTACTTAATTTAAAAAAAAACATAAGCCCTGCTTTATAGTTAGTTCAGTTAGTATGCAAAGTTTCCTGATCTTATTTAAAGTATTTTATGAATAACAGCGGTTTATTGTTCAGTTTGGAGGTAACTTTGGATTTTTTTCTAGAATAATATTTTATTTCAAAATTAATGCTGCATTATTTTCGGCATAACGGAGGATTTTGCTAAGCCATTTGAGGTTATATTCCCCCTTAAACAATATTACTCTTCCAAATTTAAAATAATATTTTTAGAATTATTTCTTCCGCGGCTGCAACACGCCGGGTGCTAGCTTAGTATATTAGTTATACATGTATATATATGGCTGGCTACTGTAGTTTAAACTAGCCCCTGTGTTTATAAGCAAACGACAACCTGTTAAAGTAGCACTATTGTTAATACTGGTTTTTTTTTTACAGGAAATAAAGCATTGCCGGAGGAATGTAGAGGGACAACTATCTTTATAAATATGATTGATCAGCTGTTCGACTCATTCAATGGATCAAAGTACAAGTACGACGCAAAACTAAAAAGTCAACTAAAAAAAAACAAACTAAAAACTGTCTAAAAAGAAACTGCGCATTTTAAGAAGTGAAACGAATTTTTACCAATTTTGCGTTCAATAGAATTTGAAACTGTTCATAAGCAAAGAGATGGGACTGAGTTAATAAAATATGTTCAAATTCCATTTTTTAAAAAATGGATAAAACACAGTGAAAGTTTAAAAGAAATATTTCTTTTATTGAATAAAAAAATCACGTACAAACCCTATTGACGCGAAACTTTAATCAAGATCCTTTTGAATCGTTTTTTTGTTGTGTACGGAGTCATGGTGTCAGAAATATTTCACCCACTTGTAGCTAATTTTCTAATGCATATAAATCCTTAATTATTAATAATTATACATCACATCATTCTTTTGGGGCAAATTGTAAATAGGATGGAATTAAACTCTTGCAAAATTTAAAATCATTAGTTGTGGAACGCAATATAAACCATGAAGAAAGTGACGATAATATCTGCTTGGATCCGTTAATTTAAGTTTTAAATGAGAATAATGACAATATGAGCCAGAAAGAATCAAAACAATATGTAGCTGGATATATAATAAAAAAAAGTAAACCGATTTTTAAATCTTGCAGAAGTTGCAAAAATTAATTAATTAAGAAACATGATATATCCAGCTACATATATGAAAGGGATTATACAAAAAAAATCATTGTTTTCTCTCAGTGAAGCACATGAAATTAACCACATAACACATGCAACATTAAAAGATTCTCCTGGTATTAAAAAATTAAAGAGAATAACGGACCTTGCAGAAATCTTCTGCAATTCATTTTTTTCTATTGTCCCATACATAAAAATGATTTGGTTTTTTTATTAATAATCATTTGATATGGTTACTTATAAATAGTTGGTGCACAAATGTAAATTGTATATTGAAAGGAAAAATTATATGTTCTGATAACCACGACTTGGTAGAATTACAAGCATATACCTATTGTAAAATTGATAATAAATGCAATAAATAACAGCTTCGTATTGCATTACAGGTTGAAGAACACTTAACTTTTTCTTCAACATTCCCACTTAATTAAATACAGTTTAGTTAAATGAATAAATTAGATCCTATATAGTAATGCCCTCTAGTGGGTGACCATGTAAAGAATCAGCGCCATCTTCAGGAGGTAGCTTGTAATTAATAATTTTAAAACCTCAGTAGTGTATCTAGGTACTCTCGATTATATACTAGGTTACCTATGTGACCACCTTAAGTTTGACCGCCCTGTAAAACCATAACTACGAGGATAACAGACAAAACATTAAATCGTATACTATAACTAATATATTAAGAAAAAAACAAACAAGCTTTGGAAATAATTAGGAACACTTCGAAAAACCTACTTAAAAAACTAACTCCATCACACCATACTAAAACCGCCTAAAATATTTACTATAGTGTCAACTATCAAAATGGCATTGATAAAGCAGCGCCTTTTAGACTCTTTGTTATTTGATTGACCAAAGAAGAGCTATCGTATCACAAAGCTATCTATAATGTAAGCAAGGCTGTAGTTTTTGAGTTATAAAAAAAATTACCCTCACGTAATATAGTATTAATCCAAAACTTCAAACTGACATTACCAAACGTAATCCTATCTCCTGATTTGTTTCCCTCTCTCGCCTATTACGACACCGACGGGATGATATGGGTTAGTGGATATTCTTACTGCGCCACTACACGTTTCAGTAGCTACCGGAATATCTAAAAAAACTGTTAATTGTTCTGCGTAATCTCTATATATAAAAATCGATTGCTATCCGTTAGTCTCGCTAAAACTCTAAAACGGCTTGAACGATTTTGATGAATTTTTTGTGTGCGTTTGAGTGGATCCCGGGATGGTTTAGAGCCGGTGCGTATCGCTAGTCTATATTATTCAATACGTTTGAGTGGATCCCTGGATGGTTTAGATTCACAATTGGACTCTGTAGGTGGCGCTGCTGTCGATACCCGTGCGGAGCCGGTGCGTATCGCTAGTCTATATTATATCAATACGTTTGAGTGGATCCCTGGATGGTTTAGATTGGACTCGGTAGGTAGCGCTGCTGTCGATACCCGTGCGGAGCCGGTGCGTATCGCTAGTCTATATTATATCAATACGTTTAAGTGGATCCCTGGATGGTTTAGATTCACAATTGGACTCGGTAGGTGGCGCTGCTGTCGATACCCGTGCGGAGCTGGTGCGTATCGCTAGTCTATATTATATCAATACGTTTGAGTGGATCCCTGGATGGTTTAGATTCACAATTGGACTCGGTAGGTGGCGCTGCTGTCGATACCCGTGCGGAGCCGGTGCGTATCGCTAGTCTATACGTGTATTATATCAATACGTGAGGGGCGAACTTTGTAAGCGAAGCATAACATATGGCATAGTTAAAGTTTATATGAAGAAGGAGTGCAGAAAGCTAAGCGACAGTAGCCTAATGGCAGGGTGCGGACCGCCCCCCCCGAACGTGTTCCCGCCTTGTCGTGGCGGGGGGGGCTTAGTAGCTGTGGCTTGGTCTCCCACGGTGAACAAAGAGGAACCCACGTGGCTGGCCCGAGGTGAAGGGCCGGCCTGAGGTGGCCACTCCGAGTGGGCTTGGGGAGCCCACTTCGGATGTGTGCTGGTGGACTGCAGCGAGTGGGGACTCGCGCACCCTCTACCGCTGCAGCCGAGGTGGAGTCGCGGAGGAAGAGGAGTGTTGGTATGGCGATGCGCCACTCGCCCTATCCTTCGCGACTCAAACGGGGCCGCACCGTTGATGCGGTGGTGGTGGGGCTGCGGGGGGAGAGGATTGTCGGTATTGCGAGGCGCCGCTCTCCCTACCCTCCGCAGCCGAATCTTGGTTGGCGGCGGAGCCATAGACCAGATCCGCCGCTGGGGTCGGGAAGGCTAGTACTTCTAAGTGCTCGTTTTTCCTGGCCCCATGGCCTTTGTACATCGGACGCGGGGGCGTCTGTTGCACAGACGTAATTGGAGGCCGTGGAGGAAGGCGCGCCATGTGTTCTGGTGCGCCTTACCTGGGAAGGAGAACGGGGAGGAAATTTTCCTCTCCCGAGGAGGTGCTGCCATGGGGCGGCAGGCGTTAGTAGGGCCGCGGATGTGTGCGAAAGCGTTCCCGTAGCCCTGCCAATATGCGACAAAGGTGGAACACCATGGGGTTTTAGTCGGTGCGAGTCCGACATAACCCGTCCTTGCCCCCGCGAGGCGGGTATGCGTAGGCATTTCCCATGCAAAAAAAAAAGGGTACGGACCGCAAACTCGAAAGGTAGTGGGTTCGACTCCGCCATCCGACTACTGTCGTGAACCGCTCCTAACACAAGCATATTCAGTACCAGTTAAAGGGAATATTAGTGATATTAATAGAATTGCTAGTATTTTTAAAATTAAAAATTAGTTGACCCTGCAAGCCATTTCTGAAACTTCCATCTACATTTCAATATGAAAGCGCTCCAAATTTCAATTATTATGAACTACATATTTTTTTATATAATTTCGGACAACCACTTTTTTATAATTTTTTCAAAATTGAATATTTCGACGAACAAATCAACAGATTTTGATGTTGATTTACGGCGATTGACGTAATTTAAAAAAAAAATACTTTTTCGAGATTTGTTTCGGCAACGGCAACTCTCGAACGAACCCACCGATTTTCATGCGGTTCGATTACAAGTGGCAAGATTACAGAATTGATCAAAACAAGGCTGTCGAAATAATTCCAAGAAAACTACTTACCGAAACTTAAAACTAATCGAATTTTCGAGGTTTTCTCGGAAACTACCGTGACGGTTCGGTCTAAATTAACAGAAAGTCTAAGTTAAGCAAGGTTATTTCAGATGCAATAAACCGATTTTCGATCGGACACTCCCTTACAAAGTTATGAGATGTTTACATACATACACATACACGTATGCCCGCACGCACACACACACACACACACACACACACACACACGCACACACGCACGCACGCACGCACGCACGCACGCACGCACGCACGCACCCACGCACGCACGCACGCACCCACGCACGCACGCACCCACGCACGCACGCACCCACGCACACACGCACCCACGCACACGCCACCCACGCACACACGCACCCACGCACACACGCACCCACGCACACACGCACCCACGCACACACGCACCCACGCACACACGCACCCACACGCACACACGCACACACGCACACACGCACACACGCACACGCCACACACGCACACACACGCACCCACGCACACACGCACCCACGCACACACGCACCCACGCACACACGCACCCACGCCACACGCACACACGCACACACGCACACACGCACCCACGCACACACGCACCCACACACACACGCACCCACACACACACGCACCCACACACACGCACACACACACACACACGCACACACCCACACACGCACCCACACACACACGCACCCACACACACCCACACACACACACCCACACACACACACACACCCACACACACCCACACACCCCACACACACACCCACACACACACACACACACACACACACACACACACACACACACACACACACACACACACACACACACACACACACACACACACACACACACACACACACACACACACACACACACACACACACACACACACACACACACACACACCCACACACACACCCACACACACACACACACACACACACCCACACAAACCCACCAGCACACACACACACACACACACACACACACACACACACACACACACACACACACACACACACACACACACACACACACACACACACACACCCACACCCACTCACACACACACACATACACACACACACACACACACACACACACACACACAAACACACCCACACACCCACA